GTGCTCCAATCACAACACATGATCGTGGGCACATAGATAGATGCTGACAATGCGCATCCACTTGACTGAGTGTGCACACACTCTCACACATACAGACACACACTAATACAGCGACACACTCGCAGACAGGAGGATGCGCACATGCAGACACAAAAAGACAGGCAGGATGATAGACGCGGACTCCAGCCCCACACACACACACACACACACCACACGCTCTTCCTCTTTTTTCCCTCTTCACCCATCTCATTGCTGCCCGCTGTCTCTCATCATCTGTTCTTTCCCTCTAAAACCCCCATGGACATATGGACTCCTGAAACCTGCAGTTTCTATCTCTGCAAACACACACACACACACACACACACACACACACACACACACACACACACACACACACACACACACACACACACACACACACACACACACACACACACACACACACACACACACGGTGTGGGCCAACAAGTGTATTGGATTTTAATGATTAGCGGACCAGCTTCCCCATGTCTCATTAGCGGTTGTATTTTTTCTGTTGTGTATTTAATCCTCTCCTTCTGCCTCCACCCCTCCGTCATTTCCCCTAGCTTGCCAGCCTTTGTGAGAAACGAGGGCGGACATCTGCCGTCCGTGCCTCCCTCTCCTTCATCCCTCTCCAGCAAGACCACCGTGGTACGCGCGCCCTGGCTTTGGAGAGGGAAGACTTTGTTTGCTCGTGCAAGCGTGCACATTTGTGTGGCCATGTGTGTGGAGGGTAGCCGGTTAGTAGTATTAGTAATACACCATTGTATTTTTGGAACAAATCCTCAGGCTGACATTAACTGTTTGGGTCGTTTGGGGAGGGTGGTGTGAGGCTCATCTGCTGTTTGGTTTTCAGTGGAATCCATGTATTGTTACGGTAATTTAAATTAAAGGCAATAATGTGTCGCTAAAAATGTGATTGAATTAAATTGGCTTTTAGATTTGAACAAAGGCATCCCATGATGGTCTTCAAGTATTTGGGGGTAGAAAATTAAATGGGCTACAAGGATGACATCACTATAACATAATCCAATAAAATGATGGGGTACTACTTTCTGCAAGTATCTTGCGTACATCATTGTGTAATTCATTTTTAAAACAGCTGTTTTTATTATAGTTTTTTAATTATAAAAGTAATTTAAAAGTGTGGTACTTTTATAACCTTTTATAAGGGACATCATTGGACTTTTGACCTACCCGTTTCATGTTATTAAGTTATTAATATGGTAATAATGTAATGCCAAGTTCAAATGCCCTCAAAAAAGCTTGTCAAATTCTGTCAATTACATTGTAAGGATCTTGAGGCAGGTGCTTGAAGAAGAAAAGAAAAGTCATGAGGTATCTAACCTGTTGCATTTTCTCCAGATCCAGACTGGGCCTCCCGGCCTCCCCGCCGTAACTGTGCCGATACTTCCTGTAAGGTGCTGATTGCTCAAAATGGGTCAAAATGATTGGTCGAACCACCGGCTGCACCACCTGCAGCTGAAAGCGCATGGGGGGCGGCTTGAGGCTACGTGGTGGACTGGAGCTGAAGAGTACGGGGCTGGGGGAGGCTGCCAGGCAGGCGTTGGACTCCACCAGGGGCCGGGCTGTGGCGGCCGGCGACCCGCAGCCGAAGACCTCCCGCACCTCCTCGTCGCTGGAGGTGCTGCTGTGGTGGTCGCCATGCCGCTGGGGAAGCGCCGACACCCACTTCCTGTTGTCGCCGCAGCTGATTCGCTCCAGCTCTTCCTCTGACGAGTGGCGATCCAGATTGGCATCTAAAAGGAGGCGAAGGCGTCGTAACCGAGACGGAGAGAGGGGACCCTGGTTGTGCTGCTGGCTGGTGGCCAAGGGAGTGAGGGCGCAATTTCTCCGTCTCTCTAGAGGAGTTGATAAACAGGAAGTGTCAAAGGAGAAGGTAGATACGTGGTTGCAAAAGATAGGAAATGCTCTATAATTTCATATAGAGTGGTGCAGGACTGACATATCTTTGTAGACTGACCCGTGAGTTAGCATCACAAGGGCTTCCTTGACCAAAAGCAATGGGATGTTTTCTATTTTCAAATTATATGAGGCATCTAACGAAAAAAACTTTGACTTTTAAGTAGACAAATGCTAACTAATTTTCAGGTTTTAGGACTCATTCCTGCACCACTCTATTATTTGTTGCCTTGAACCATTCTGACTAGAATGTGTGAGAATGATCAGGTGATGGGGAGGACCTTCATCTACTTACGACAGAAAGGTATTCGGTTGACAGAGGGTTCTTACCTCTGTCAATCTGTGCAAGCTCCTGGTTCTCCCCCTCTGAGTCGTCACTCTCCCCTCCCTCTCCACTGCCATGGTAAGAAATCTGGAAGAAAACAAAAGGAATGAGTTTATACTGAAGGTTAAATATGCCTCAGATCTGAGCATTTACATTGGTAAAAGAGTGAAAAAACATTCCAAAAGAATAGTATTTGTTCTCTTTTAAAAGGTCAAATTTGCAATGGAAAATGTCAGTATGCAGCAAACAATGTAAAGAGTAAAACCTTAACAATTAAAAATATTAGGATTGCGCAATTGATCAACATTTTTTATCAAAATTACAATATGGACTAGCATTATATTCAAATTGCAGGAAGCACAATATTTGTTGGAGGATAACATTTGTATTAAAGGGGCCATATTCTGCACATTTTCAGGTTTCATATTTGTATTTTGTGCTTCTACTGTGACATGTTTCCATGCTTTAAGTTCAAAAAGCTCTTTATTTTTCTCATACTGCCCATACTGCAACACCTCTTTTCACCCTCTGTCTGAAACAAGAGGTCAGTCGGCTCTGATTGGTTAGCTGGCCGGCTCTTTTGTGATTGGTCAACTGCTTAAGGTCTTTACACACCGAACTGACACCAAAGAACACGTCCCGACGGAACGTCGCCTCACGTCTCCTGTGTCTTGGCCATGTTTCACACTGGAACACACCGCAAAGACTTCAGCCAACGGCCAATTTGCACGTACGAACTGCGCATGCCTGAGTGGCAATAACTCTCTCTAATTTTTTACTTATAGTGAAAACTACCCTTGGATGATGGTAAGGTAGACTAAAAGCTTTAGGAATCCAAAGTACAACATATAATAAGTACCCTGTGTCAAGATTGAGACTGCAAAGCAAGTGACATTTGACCTTTTTAGAGAGGTTTAGCAAAACAAACTCCACCTCTGAGGTGATTTGGGTGGAAATAGGGGTTTTACCGTTTCTCTCTCTCTCTTTTTGACTGTTAGAGCCAATAGAATTTAAGGGGAATTTCCTCATACACACACATGGTAAAAAAAGAAGGTGGGGGCTTTGCGCATGCAGGTTTGCTTCAGAGTGAACCTATCTCTCGCTCTGACATCTGGAAACGGAAAAGCAGGTTTATTGCTTATGGATTATCAGAAATCATTTCAAAGGGACACAGACACATTGGATTAACCTATGAATTAACTTCAGCAGCATTTTTATCGTTTTAATGCCATTGAAGACCACTTTTGACCAGACTACGACCAAGGTGAGCCATGTTGCCGATTTTAGCTACCTAGCGCCATGTTTTGATATCTGTTCTTGTTCATATCTTCGCGAGTTCTTATCATGGAGTGATGGTGTATGTACCCATCGATTCTGTGTCATCTCACGATCATATCGATGGGTTGGACGTGCAGCTACGATAGGTTATAAGGGTGTTATGAGTAGGGTTGCAAAATTCCGGGAATTTTCAAAGGTGGAAACTTTCCACGGGAATTAACGGGAATTTATGGGAATAAACTGGGAATTTTCTAAATTTAAGGTTGGCTCTTCATAGGGAACTTAAATACAGTTGGGGAAAGTATATTTTGGCATAATCTTGACTAAAACAAACAGATGCCATTCAAGTACTGTAATTTTCGGACTATAAGGCGCACCTGAATATAAGCCGCAGCAGCTAAATTGAATGATGTGTACATATATAAGCCGCACTGGACTATAAGCCGCAGGTGTTTTAATGTTTAATTACCATATGTAAGGGTTCGTGCACAGAGGGGATTGTCGGGAAAGAGATGGCTGTTTGAGGAAGCTCCCATTTATTAACATTTCAACAAACAAGTTGCATATTTGCATAACGTATTCAAGTGTTACCATTTAGTGCAATAGTAGCTACAGAACATGTACTGTGCTGTGTAAACTGTACTGTATCACATAGCGTTTCAGACACACAAACTTTTCAACTTTCAAACTTAAACGGTGCGCTCCCAGCGCACGTACCGGCAGTGACCTACAGCAGTGGTTTTCAACCAGTGGTACGGGGACAAACTGTCTCGCTCTCGTAATGTCTGTCTGTCTTGCTCTCGTTCTGTCTCTCGTACCACTCTCGGTTTCACTTTTATCTCACTCTTTTCCGGCCTCCAGCTTTTCCTGCTGGAGCCCGCCGCTTAAAGGTGGGGGGCGCGGACCGGCCATAGAGCCCATAGAGTTAATGGTGGTGGACTGTAACCTGTAAAATCCATAGATTTAGGAGGTCCCCTATTGGCCGTTAGCTGTAAAAATCCATAGATTAGCCGCACCGTTATATAAACCGCAGCGTCGAAAAATGGGAAAAAAGGCGCGGCTTATAGTCCGAAAATTACGGTACACTTGAATATCCATGCCATAGCACACTGCTTACTGCATGGCTATTGAGACCACACAAAGGTTCGCAACAGGCTCACAAATGTGAGAGTGGAAAAACTGGTTGGCATTCGGGCAAACCTAAGGCTCTTTGAGCCTGACACAGAGCCATCCTCAACAAGGCTGTACAGTGACACTGAAGAGGAAGCCTCAGAGTTGGATGTTGATGAGGCCCAGGAAGAGCCCATTGACTGAAAGGGTTTAGCAAAAATGCAGAGGATTGCCTGAAGGAAGATTTGCATGTTTAATGGGACTTTGTGGAGGGAGAAGGGCTCTTTTCATTTAACATTTTGAATTGGACTTTGTGGGGATCTTTGGATAGGGGGTGCATTTTTGTTCATTTTTTAATGAGTGGGGTTGAGTAACATTTAACTCAACATTCCTGTTTTCGTTCTTCAATGAAACAAATAATTGTTCGATAAAATAATTAAAACTTGTTCAGTTCTACTTAAAAAAAAAATGTTTTAAAAAAAAGATCTGTTGAAATGTCATGTTTTTTTGTTTAATTTTGCATCGAATATTTCCAAAATTCCCCAGCTTAACTTCCCATGGAAACGTTCCCGAAATTTACCGGAAACCTTCCGCCCCTTTGCAACCCTAGTTATGAGTGAGTTTCTGTGCAACACGCCGTTAGCATTTTTCGCTCGTGGCTAATTCATAGGCTCAGCGCTAGCTTTGTGGGTTTAAAAAAATAAATACAAAATAAAATTCAGTTAGCTGAGTTTCTTCCCGTTACATGGATATAAAACATTCATAGTTTATTGAATATTAAGATGCCCTCAGACGCTGTTTCCTGCAGATGACGCGTTTTCCCCCCCGGTATCTAGGGTGCGGTGTAGAAGAGGTTAATAGTTTGTTTGGGTCCCTCACTTCCGTTTCGCTTCTCATGCACTGATTTGCTAAGCTGAACAGCCAATCAGAGTGATTTCTTTAGCCAACGGCCTTTTATCGACTCCCGATTCAACATGTCAAAACGGCGACGGAAGGTGTCGGCACGGCCGAAAAGACACGACGGGGCGGGACAGACCAAGACACACCAATCTGAGTAGGGCGATACGACGCTCATCGACGGCCCGACATCTATCGACGGCCGAAATCGGCTTGGTGTGTAAGGGACTTTAGATGTCAGTGTCAGAGCACTGGCCAAAAGAAGCATGAGTGTTATATAGTGATGTCACTTTGTTACAGAAGTATACAAAGTAGTTAAATCAGGGCGTTTCAGGCAGGTGGGGAGTGACATCCCTCTAATATTGTGAAGCATATCGCAATTGCAATAAGTAAAAAATAATCCAAATTGTGCCGTCTAACTTAAACAAAGTGAAATCCTTCTTTATAATTTCTTGGTTCACATACATAACCTTCGAATGTAACATAAGCATCGTCAGTTTGTCTATTACATGACAACTGTCAAAAAATAATTGTTGCTTGGTCATTTATACAGTTGCACTACTTGCATACTTTGAGTCACAAAAGGCAGGAAGAGTTGAGTTACAGTTATGCCGGGGCTGCTCTCTTTTCCCACAACCTGAAGCAGTATGTCTCTTTAAAATCAATCCCTCGTCTGTCTCCACCAGAAGCAACAATACAGAAACCCTGCAGGCTGCAACGCTAAGAGTTAAGTAATGCGCCTCACACTCAGTAATTACCACTGCGAGGCCTCGCTGAGCAGCTGCCATCTGTGCTTTTGCGTGCGTGTGTGTGCGCTTTGCACACATACATCCACACAAACATACAGTGTCCTCCCTTCTACTCTCTAATACACACACGCACACTCTCACACACTTCCTTTCTTTCTGAGAGAGGGAAAAGGGAGAAAGGGAGAAAGGAGCCAGGGCCTTAGAGCCCAATAAGAGAAGCCAGTTAAGTGGGAATTCCAATCTGTAATTACAAAGGCTTTTCACAGTTTTATGGTGAAATACAAATCAGAAGGCTACATCTCGTAGCTGTCCCTACTTTTTTACATTTTAAATGTCACATTACTGTATATAAAAACAAAACGTAAAAAGTATTGCCTATCATCATCAACTCCACTGTATTTCAGATTTTTCTAAATGTCTGCGTAGGATCCAATAAAATGTATGTAGTTAAATGTAGATATTCATCATATTATGTAAGTTTTATGATTTGACATGGCATGAATTACATAAGAATAGTTACCAAAATAGCAAAAATAATGCTAAAAATTTCAAAAAGTCTTCTCATACAGTATTGTGGTCGATCAAAGCATATTATAAAGCAGGAATAGCAAAGTAGGGATATACATGTAGCCAGTGGTGAAATGTAATGAAGTACATTTACTCAAGTACTGTACTTAAATGCAATTGAGGTAATTGTCTACGATTATTTTCATTTCATCTACTCCACTATATGTTCCTTTATCTGACAACTACTTCTTTACAGATTCAGAATATTAGCTTAAACCAAATATAAATCAACTTATCATTTTAGGTTTAGATATTCTCTGACAGTTTACAAAGTAATACAAATTCGCTCCACTTTCACCAGCTGTGATTAACACATTAATGCATCAATAATCATAATGATGTAAGTACATTAACTTTTGGTACTTTTAGTTTACTTTGATGCCAACTTTTATTTTATTAAGAATTTAAATGCAGGACTTTTACTTGTAAGAGAGTACTTTTACAATTTAGTAATGCTTATCTACTTAAAGGGGCCCTATTAGCCCT